CCCCTAAAGTTATTTGTTCAGGCTCTAGTTATCGTAGTAACCAAAGACTTAATGTACACATGGAGATGTGATTCTAAGATACGCATGAGAAAATGTGACCCTAACCTTTAAGTTGCTGTTGACCACATTGGTCTCACTGTTGTAAACTGTCTCACTTCCTCTAACTTCTCCCATGTTTCTGTTTCAGCTGGGATGCAGCCTCACTCTGCGGCACCACGACAGCGTCCTCCATTAAAGAATCTGCACAGCAACAGTGAGGAGATCCAGGATGACTTTGACTGGGATTCTCTGCTCGGTTGACCGTCGCCGTCAGTGACATGGGTCGAACACAACTCTACAAAGACACGTGACTCTTTACAGCCGTGAACACTAAACTCTATGCAGAGGCTGCCTCACTGGTTTTAAATCTTAGAGCTTCTCTGAGAGCAAGTTTGGGATCTTGATGAGTCACATAAGACTGAATGCTGTTTTCAAGGTTAAACTTTTATCACCTGTATTCAAATTCATATGCTGTAATAAGTTCTGTATGGTGTATCTTCTGCAGGTAATTATCAGGGTGTTCTTTTCTAATGGACTGTACTTTTATAAACATGTTCACCAAAGAAAATAAAGTGTAAACTTATTCTTGTAACCGTACTGTACACTGCAGCAGTAAAAAAACAATGTGTAAATATATGTTATTTACAGAGCAAACATGAAACAAGCCAAAAATGTCCTGTGTTTTATTTTATTTCATAAATTTCTTTTTTCCATTTACTTTTCAAATGTGAATGTTCACAGTCAACACCACACAAAATTCAACCTTACCCAATAAAAGATATTTTTCTTGTTGATATAAAATAACAATAAATTCATCTAACTAAATTAAAATAACAGCATGGAGCATGTCGTCAAGTCCCTGTTTTTTCTTCTTTCATTGAAATAATTGTCTTTTCTTTTTTCTTGAGAAGCATCAGTAGCTCTCCCTCCCCCCCCAAAGGGACGAGGGATGGAACGAGGGCAGCAGTGATCGGACACCTGAGCACCAGGGATGCCATTTGAAATGTGATTGGAAAAAAATAAAAAAATAAACCAAATGTTTTTGATTAACAAAGGAGAAAAAAATATGTGTTGGCAGAGAAATGTGTGACCCTTATAATACCTCATTTGAAATCCCAACATTATATAATATTAATACAAGTGACTATTTTTAAAAATAAAACTGATGTGAATTTTGTTCTCTCTGAGTCACTGAAATAAGATCGGACAGAAAAAATAGAGACAGATATTGATACATATACACAGAAACAGGCATCTGCACTATTGCATACTCGCACACACACGAGCCTTCATGTTGTCATACAAACACACACACACACACACACACACATTCAACAAAGATAATTTTTCTCATCAGATCACAGGCGTCAGAGCTTTCTTTAGTTTTCAACAATTGGTAAGAAAAAAGAAAATAAGCATTTGATTTAAATGGCATCATCGTGTTTGATTTTCCTTGTTTATTTGTTTCCAAAATTGGAAAAAAATAAATTACATTTAACATTAAATTAAATTGAAAGTGAAATAATTGAAAATATTTGACCACATTGTGCCTGAAATGTTAATGCAGTATTTTCAGTCCGTATCTCAGTCTGGAGTTCATTAAAAGTCATCCCTCATGCACTCGTTGCACCTCAGTGATTCAGTGTTTGTTTTCATTGCAGAGGGAGAAAAGAGGAAGAGGCAGGTACAAGAGTTTCTCTGTTCAGTTTGTTAGTGGCTATGTCCCCTCTCCCATTGTCTCTCTCTCTCAGTGCAGTAATATTAGAAAAGAGTGACACTACTGAAAAAGCCTCCTGCTCTCACAGACTTACCTTCATCTTAGACAGGACTGAAAAAAAATTAAACACAACATGAAAAACAATACAGAGCAGAAAAGGATTAAAACAAAATAAATATATCTCTATTTCCCACCCCAAAATAACCCAAACTGAAATGAAAGTAACTAAATGTGGAAAATTATGCTGAAATGAAATAATGCTTTTGAAGAAAAAGAAACTGAAAATTTGATTTTTTGTTTTTTTTCTTTCTTTTCTTGAAATATAGAGATGTAGACATTTTTCTTTTTGGACACAAATTGTGTTGAAGGGGGGTGAATGATGGGGGCAGCAGATACGACTGAGGAGGTTGAAACAGGTGAGCGAAGGAGTGGTGACACTTCCTCAAAGAAGAAAAGGGTTGGTGCTTGCTCCCGTCGTTCCTCCGCCTCCAACTGATCCACCTGCCCCCATCAACCCTCCTGTTCCAGTGGGCCCACCCAAAATCAGCTGAGGAGGTCCTGCACCTCCGGGCCCCAAGAGAGCCGAGCCAGGGGGCGCCATAGGGGAGAGACCGCTGTAGGGCATGCCCATGGGACTGGCCTGCATCATGCCCAGGCCCATTCCTGGAGCACCCATACCCACACTCATTGGCCCCATGCCCATTACGGGTTGCACCATGCCCAGCATGGGATTGGGAGGCACAGGACTGGTGCGGAGGCCACTCAGGCCAAGTGATGAGGGCTGAGGCGAGATGGAGGTCATGGGCGGGGCCACGCCAAACGGATTGGAGGAGGCAGGTATTGGAGAGACCCCCCGACTGGAGATGGTGCTGCCTGGAGTTACGGCCATACCAGGAGCAGGAGATGAGCCTGAGGGTCAGAGGTGATGGTTAGACAGCACAGGAAAAGCTCAGGTCACTCTTACTTTCACATCTCATAGTTTTGTGGGGTCAAACTCTGCACACTGGGGTCACACCATTCACCTGCTGAAGTTTATCTGAACTCTGACATTAACGTGTGCACCTAACATTAAACTTAGTTACATTGATAAGAATCTGAATCATCAAGCAAAATACAGAGAATATTTATCATGAGTACAAAGTAATATACAATCAAATTCACAGTTATGGCAGTTTTACCAGGTAAGTATGTGGCTTCTCATTTAACAGACACATTTCTAAATTTCTCTTAACATTAAATAAAACAGGATTTACAGGAAAAGAACCTACCAGCTCCCTCTCAGTGGAGGATCAGCTTTACTCCTATTCTACATTCAACCTTCTTTATAGTCGGAGCAAACAGTTACTATTACATCAGGGAGTTCAACTTTCTGTTCACTCTGATACTCTCGGCTTCGCTTTACGAACTTCATACTAGTAATGGGAAACTCCCTGAGATAAAACCAGCTGACCAGACTGTCAGCAGCCCAGCAGAGGAGATAGAGATGCTTCATGGTGCGTTAGGATTTCATAACTGAACTGTGACCAATGCACAAACTTTGTCTACATGGAAAAAAAGTAACAGTTGAATCTTCAATTTTGCACATCCATAAAGGGTGCAGCCAAATATGTTCTGGGTATTTATCTTGTCTCATTTTATTCTATGACAGCCTCAGTGTTTCGGACCAACAAAGTTTTTTTCCAGCAAAACTTTCTACTTTCCTGAGTCAACGAGAGTGCATTATGGTTACAGACATTTAATTTAATCCTTTTGGACAGCATTTTATTCTAATGGCCTTTTTCTGCCAGCTGCATTTCCTTGAATTTAATTATGAATATGAACAACTTGATGATAGCATCTTAACCTGTATAATTAATGTGGCTCTCCAGGGTCTATTTATTTATGCAGAACATTTTCAGTACAATCTCATCTTTCAGTCTTCAAAAGTTTTTTCTCTTCTTACACTCAGTTAATGCGATAGCTATAACTAACCTATGTTCTGGAGGAAAGGATTGTGCGCTGATGAGGAAGAGATAGAGGGGGGTGGCGGCTGTTTGGGTTTGGGTTTAGATGACACCAGGGAATCGAGATCCACCAGCGCTGCATTGGGGCCGAGGAAGGACTCTGGCGTTTTACGAACAGGAAGGGATGAACCGAGAGATGACAGGTCAAAGGGCACGGGTGAACCTGTGCTGTCACAGCCTGTTGCAGAGGAGCCTCTTCGCTCTGGGTCTCCTGAGGGGGGGCATGAAGGAGAAAAACAACAAGGAACAAGTCAGGCACTGAAAGTAAAATTTTAACTAATAGAGCACAACATGAAAACAGCATTACAACACATACTAGAGGAAGATGAAATGTAGGACAATACAACTGTTCTGTGAACATGCACTGGAAAAGTCTGTAGTTTTATGTGTCATCTATGAAAATGTACCAGTACCTTGGTGTTTGTGAGTCCATGGAGCTTTAAGTGTGAATGTACCTGTGCCATTAGTTTGTTTGGCGTTGCCACTCCAGATGTCAGAGTTGACAAGGTCAGAGACAGGGAGAGGCCCGTCGCTTGCCCAGGGGTCTACTGGCCCCCCTGAGGAGGAAGTGCTGGGAGGCACTGAGGGGCCCCAGGGGTCGGCACTTGGGGGGGTCACAGCTACAGGGGAGGGGAGGAGACGCAGTGGAGGGGAGGGTTAACACAACACCTTACAAGTACAATCCACAACAAGGAGGGAGCAGGAAGCTGGGCTGGTTTCCAACAGTGATAGTTCTCTCCTTAACCTCTGATACCACTGACTGGACTGATGTGGACAGATGAAGGTAGATTTCAAATGTCTGTCCACTATGATAGTTTAAAATATTTAATGTATTAAGCTCAGTGGAGGCAAAGGAGAGATAATAAAGAGCTATCCCATTTATTAAAAGGGCACAAAAGGGCAAGAGAAGAGAGATCTCTGGTTGAGACACAGCCACAGTCAGTCCTGAGTAGAAACAAGAGGATAAAATCCCTGGTTTAGACACAGAGGGAGAATGGATTTAACATGCTCGCTTTCCTCATAACAAACTGAAAGCATGTGAGTGGGTGAGAAGATATGACACCATGGTGGCGTGAAAGGAAATGTAACAGGGATGTTATTTATGCAGGAAATGGAACGGTGGAGTGAAGAGGAGTAAAAATTGAGGTTTTCACATCCTCTATCATCCACCGAGCAGATCACGATTGTTTCCAGATAATCATACGAACATTTCCACAAACCTTACAGAGGCAATACATGACGTACCTGAGCTTCCCCAGGGGTCCACGTTGTTAACTCTGTTAGATGTCTCTCCCCAGGGGTCTGGAGGGGGTGCTATGGATGGTGGGGGTCCCTCACCCCATGGGTCAGAAATTGTAGGAGATGTGGGTGATGCTACTCCCCATGGATCTGCGGGCGCTGCACCCCAAGGGCCTGAGGCAGCAGGGGCAGGAACTGAGGGTGGAGGCGAGGGACCTGCAGAGCCAACAGTGGCGATAGCAGCAGCAGCAGCGGCAGCAGGGGCCCCCCAGGGGTCCGCGGCACTCAGCTCCATTAGAGCATTCTGAACAAGAGTATATATAAAAGATTACAACATGCAGCTGGATTCAAACACAAATCTGAAGACACACTTAGCTCACATTCTAAGATTAGTTAATAGGAAATGCACAAAACAGAAGTAGGTGGAGATGCCAAGTGATACACTCACAAATAAATCACATAAGAAAAATTGCAATGAACTTCTGACTACTGTGTCTTGTGCACAGTGTACTGCATAAAACTGTCCTGACAAAGGATCCAAATTGAGACACAGAGCTAAACAGTAGAGGACAAAGTGCTTTTATTTCATCTTGCCATTCCGTACAAACTGTAGGAACATTATAGTTCCACCTTCATGCCACCATCCGGTCACACAGCCGGATCAAGAAAAATACATTTTACTCGTACCTCCTCTGGCTGCGCTTTCTCCCTCCTGCTCTCTTCGAGGGCCATCTGCAGTCTCAGGTCATCACCTCTGCGCAGTCGCTCCTCCTGCCAATAACACACAGTGTGATGTCAGCAACGTGAGACACACAACCTTAGAAAGCACACAACAGGTGCAAATTTAAGATAAATCAATTATGATTATTTGCAATCAACCGAAGATAAAAAAAAAAAAAAGAGTGCTTGTTTTATTTTGCTGTGTAACATAAAGAATAGGCAGAGCTTGTCTCAGAAGGTTATGAAATATTTAAAAACTCCAAAGCATAAACAAAATACTGGAGTTGAAATGTATTCTTTTAGCTACATGCAGATGTCTAGTTGAGGTATAATATATTCTAC